CCATCACATGGGAGTGGTTCTCGGACCTTCGGTATTCCGTCTCCGTGGCTGGAGAAGAGAATGGGTCAAGCTGTCCAGATCCGCTGTCGCAGATCGTCACGCGTGGAGTTACAGTAGGCGACCTCGCTGAGTCCACACAGATCAGGCCCAATCACAGTCGTACCAAGCACCACGGGGAACCACGTAAAAATGATGGGCCAGTAGCGCAGGAAAGCCCGGCGATGGGCACTTCTACTTGCCGTGGGGATGCGAGTGCGGTCCCCGTGGATGGCCACATGACAACGGGCGACCAACGACCGAGAAATGCTACCGGTAGAGTGAATGAGAATTGAAAACACCAGGGTGCGGCCGTAGCACATGTAGTTGGACATTTGACCGAAAAATTCCCAAGGAACCCCTGGCTACCGTTTAAATCTAAAGTGTCCGTCTAGCTGGGTAGTCAGTCAGAGTACTAGGCGCAAACCGATCTCTTGAGCTCCCGATAGCAAAGCGTTTCCGTCTTCTACTAGTGGAGATCACAAGCGGCGATGGCCTACGACGTCAAGAAGCGACTAAGTAGACGATACCAGAAACTGGCCGACGAAGGCGCGGGACACTGAAACATGCTGTTTGGGGCTTATCCAACCAGCTTTACCCTCCCACACTACACCCACGCGTTGTATGTGTGTATGCAAATCCGTTCGTGTGCGCATTCGAGATTTAATGAAACTTAATTAGTGTCGGCAAGTCTATAACAGTTGCTGTCTGAGTACTCGCAGTTTGTTGTCCGTCAGCTATTGGACTCATGAATCCGATGCTTCCAAAACTAGACGCAAGATAACGCAAGAAGTTGGGTGCCCGATCTTGTGGGGAACTCGTGAGGAAGGGGTGGCCCTTGCAATTTGACCGCTTGCGCGAAGACGGTAAGACAACGAGGAAAAAATGACATAGATTTAATTTGCTGTTACAAATAGAGGTGGTGTATAAAGAGGTATAAAAAAATCCTGCTGCATCTGCCGTTAATTGCGTGGAGGATACGCAACCGAATCCCTTGCGCGTTTGATATATTCACAGAGTTCCCTCTCGGCCTTGACAGTGCGTTCTAGTACCTCAACTAAAATCAAAGGAGAAAAGGATAAAACCAGAACGATACTCTAAACTAAATAAGCAGAACTTGCTACTGATCAGAATATAAGTAGTCTGACTTTTCCGGATTCTTAATCACAGCAGGAAGAACTTACGTAGCACCCATTTCATTTGCCATCCTCCCATGCTCATAGCGTTTAAATAAAAAGGGGAAGTCAAGACGACTGGAGATGGGCAGGGAGTTCCCCACTACGCTTGCCACACACACGCTAGTTCCTCAATTCACAAGGAACAGAACTTGCTAACTCAGACCTCACATGAATGGGTTGCCAAAAAACTCGACGCCTGGTCCAGAGGAGAAATAAGTCACCCCGCCTGTTGGTGGTCTCCAAACGGCGGTGTCCAACAAGTTGGTAAACAGGCAGTGGGTATGGCTGCCCAGTCATCACCCTCGTCCGTCAGACCCCTGTTCGGGTGTTGTTGTTGGTAAAGTGCATGTTGTGGACCAGGGGGTGTGGTGGTACGCCTAGGTGCGGGTCCGGCCGTGCTAGCCACCTGCGCCCTCCCTCGCCTCCGGTCTTCTTGACTATGCCTTGACACTGGGTCCAGGTGGGGAGTGGAGAAAAGACTGTGGTCGATGTTGTGCAATTCTGCTATCACTATAAAATAATTCACGCGCAAGTCACCGTGCCTGCTGCACCTTGCACACGGTGGACATCGTCGGAATCGACAGTCAGACTGTCCGTCCCTAAACAACACACTTTTACGCGCTCTGATAGCAGAAGAACGTGAGTCGCACGGAAGCGGCAAATCCAGAGCAGTGCCAGTTGGAGGCGCAGTGGCCTAAGTTCCCGTCTAACAGATTTTAGAAGCCTTTTCATTTCAACCGTTCAGTCCCTTATTTTCCTTGAATCAAATTTCCAAGGTAAACAAGAACATTGCGTACAACAGTCAGTCTTTCTGGGAAACTGCTTAAAACCCAAACTTCCTGTATCTCTAAAAGCCACACAGTCAGTTGACAAAAGGATTACATTCATATTGACCCAACTGTGAAAAACTCGGCGCCTTGGTGGGATTCGAACCCACGCAGTCAGGGGAAGGCTTTAGTACAGCCAACGCTCTAACCACTTGAGTTACGAGGACCCGCCGGACGACGCGAGTTTAATCATATTTGGGTCAAGTTACCCGCCCAACCTACTGCAACGTCTGGAATCCACCAAATCTGATAGAGTAAGTTGACTGGCCAAGCAGGATTTCCAAAGTAATTCACTTAGAATCCACCAGCTGACTACCAGTAAGTTGGGTTGTCTTTCTCGAGAGTCCTTCTCTGCATATATTACTATTCGCTGTGCAAATGCTTACGGAGCTCTAGATTGAACCCCAAGCACGACAGGACGAGTTAGTCCCGTAACCGATCGGTGAACGCCCTCTTACTGCAAACTCACTAGGACGTTAGTGTACCCTGCGAGAGCAATCACCCTACCTACCAAAAACGGAGTGCCGTTAATAGCCTCCTTAGTCGAACAACAACTCACTGCTCTAACAGCGAAAGTTATCAAATGGAACTTAATTATTTGTTCAAACTGTTTCCCCGAAATGGGTGTCTCTACACGGCTACATGAACACCAATTTGCGGTACAGAGGCGAAACTACTTGTTTCGAGTTGCCATGTATACGCTGAAAGCCGGACAAAACTTGCACTGTTGGTGTCTCTTCATCTAAGGAAGGCAGAGCATTTGTAGAGGCCGTACATGCCGACGACTCAGTAATCAATCAGCACATTGAATAAGACGTCGTGCACAACGGTTACAAAAAAAGGAAAAAAAGGTGACAACCCAACCGAACGAGATTTCAGTCATCGGCGATGGCCTATTTGTAAGAATGACTCAGGAGCATCGATTTTTACGGGCACGTGTAAAATCTTAACTGTTGCGCACATTTGCTGCACGACCGACGACGTGCAGCACATGGACCGAGAGGCTGCGAGGGCGCAGGCCTCTACGGCACTTACCACTATCCAACGGACGCCCTACTAGCCCTATAAAGAGTTGCCTGTACCAAAGACACACAAAGACCGATAGTGGGCAAAAAATAGAAGCTGGAACCTTCCACCTCTTGCCCTACGTGGGGGAAGTCTCAAAAGCCATTGCACGCATGTTATGACCACTCAACATTGACACTGGATACCAGCCGGAGGTCACTATCCGCCACTTTATGCGGCCAAATAGTCGGCTACCGTTTACGGACGGGTCAGGAGTTGTTTACCGCTTTAACCCCTAGACTTCCCGGTCAACTACCGCGACACGACCGACGAAGAAGCATGCGCCAGTCGTAAAGCGGAATGCTGTATGACCACATTTCGCTATGTACAGCCTCGAGAATTGTCAGCAATTTGCCTTTGACAGTGCACATTTACTCGAACGTGCCGAAGGTAAGATGCTGAAAGATATAATCGAAGCCAGACAATCTAAGGACAATTTTACTAACCTACCAACACAATACGAGGTCGTTAATCACCAGCTGCGCATAAAAGAAGGACCAATACGGAGAGGGAACGATGGGTCTACCAGGAGTAAGTCAGAAAGACTAATTTAGACCGTATATTTTCCATTCTGTCTGAAGACGTGCCCAAGTGTGAGTGCGAAACGTCACATGAGTAAACCGCCTTCCCCCGAGATCGTCTTATCTTCTTCTTTCATATGAATGTATACGCTATCGAAACTTGACCGAGTTCAGTCTGGCAGATGGCTGTCTGCTCATAAAGTCTGCCACCCATTCGGAGTCTGTTTAGCCCCGGAAACTAACATCGATGCGCCCATTGCTCTATACGTATGCATGCTACTTGACTTATTTAAGTAGAGGTGATATATCGTGCAGTAATAAATCAAATGTAGTACAATTGCAACCCACCAGATTCAACGCCCATAGAGGAGCGCAGTAGGTCCCTAACCCGCGTGTTGGCTTCTTCCAGGTCTTTTTGGAGAACCTGCAGATCCAAAAATTCTTGTTCCATTTTCCTCTTTGCGAGGTTTAGCTAAAGAGACGAATAAAACAAAGCATGATTGACAGACAAGGAATTCCTAGATCCACAATGCAACTAAAAAAGGTCTCAATTGGAGGGGTCCGCAATTCCGCAAGTCTTATCTGAAAAAGCATAAGTTGGGTCATCATCGTCTAAATGGAAGATAGCATGAGGGTTTTCCACTTCACATTCGAGCTTTGGTCTAAAATCCTAACACTCAGAACCCGAGGAAGTTTCCGACAAAGATGGAGACTAAGGTGACCTCTTCTGATATATTTTACGCAATGAGTTGGGAAAGCCCTACGTAACGAGAGAAATCTGGACCACAGAAGATATACTTCTAGTCTATATTTTGGTGCTCGCATAACATAGTCACTCGTAGAGAACGACTTCAACACAAGGCTGCCTGGCGGCACCTTTGCTGAGCAGCCAAAACCCACGTCCGCGACCTTCACGGATGGAAGCGAATATGCGAATCCCAGGTTCTTGTTGTAAAGACGATGCACACACGATCTCTGGGACAGTAGGTGTATTAGTCTGAGCTTTCGATCTCGTACAGGAGGCCACCGTCAGAGTTCGCCGTTGGGTGTGCAGAAGGGCGACTAACACGACTCAGATTCTGAACTACCAATGTAACCACCAATGGCGCATAAACGCAGCTGTGTTAGGACACTTCCAAAGGGTAAAACGGCACTGTAGTGGGCCAGAGGGACGAGTACGAGAACCTCAGCATCTTCGGGACCTACTGGCAAGGAATGAATACCCGAACAGCTTCATCAGCCGCTGCCTCCGCACGCACCCATGGCGAACAAACGGACGAGAGCCGCCAACACTCTGGCACCCTCTACCATATATAAAGAACGTGTCCGAAGCCATTGAACGTATCGCTGGAGAGCTCGGCGTGGGTATCGCTCACCGTCCGACAGCGACCATGCGCAACGAAATCATACGAGTGAAGGATTGACTAGACATGGGAGAACAATCGGGTGTAGTTTATCAGATCCCATGTCGGGACTGCCCTCAGCACTACACAAGACAGACCGGACGACGACTTGGCTTACGAATAACGGAGCATAAACGGGCGGTCCGGAGAGGCGACCCGTTGTCTCAGGTCGCCACTCACACCCTGGAGGATGGTCACAAATTCAACTTCGCGAGCACGTCGAGAGTAGCGCGGGCCAGCAATAAGACAGGGCGAGAACTGTTGGAGGCCTGGGTGTCTGACACCAACTCTATCAACAGACACGTTGGCATAACCCCCTGCCATCACGCGCTCCGTTCCCGCGGCCAAGAGGCGAGACCCAATTTCCAGCCAAGGGTACACGCAGTCACGCCGTCGTAAAACGGCGTGGGGATCAGCTTATCGCGAATACCACCCTCTGCACTCATATCCCCCCCCCTTCATGGCTTAACTACAAAAACTGCTCATTTGATACCGCATTCTCACAGTCTCTGACGGTGGCCTCCTGTACGAGATCGAAAGTTCAGACTAATACACCTACTGTCCCAGAGATCGTGTGTGCATCGCCTTATAAGGTAACCTTTTCTGATTTATTTTACGCAATGAGTTGGGAAAGCCCCACGTAACGAGAACACTCTGGACCACAGAAGATATACTTCTAGTCTATATCTTGGTGCTCTCATAACATTGTCACTGGCATAGAACGATTTCGACACAAGGCTGCCTGGCGGCACCTTTGCTGCGCAACCACGAGTCATCGCAAAGATGTCGTGTGAAACACCAGATTTCCTAAGGATATTGTAGATGAACGAAGTCGGAGAAAGCCATAGAAAAGGGGTGAGGGGCCAAGGAGAGGGGATGACATAAATTGCTTCCCGAGCGAGTAATGACTGTCTAGGTCGTAGTTCCCTTCACCTAGGAAACGCCGATAAACAGCAAGTAATCCTTAAGAGTCTTCGGCTCGAGTATGGCAACCGACTGTTGAGTGAATGGGAGTAAATCAGAAGAGTAGAAGGCGTAGATTATAAAACAGGATGACCTACCAGTGAAAGGTTCTGTTCGTGTTTACTTATACTCTTGATCAGTGCGTTGTCCATTTTGGCGGAGTACGTTGTGTGTGCTGCATCCTCCTTCAGGACAACATTATCATCCAACGCGAAAAGGTCTTCAAGTAGGAAAGTCTACGATGAGAGGGAACAATCAGAATCGTCACTGCAGCCTCCAACACTCACATCCAACTTGTTGAAAAGGGCATTTTGATGGCCCTGGAGTTTGACTTTCAACCTATGCACAAAGGCCTCCAGTTTCTTGGGTGAGATGCTGAGTCCAAACTGGTGGCAAATGGAATTAGTGGGAGAGGAGGGATTTCTGACTCACTTTCTCAACAAGAGCCTCACGAAATCGGTCAATTAACTTGGCCAAGTTGTCAGTCACGACGTTAAAAACTGCAAATACTGAGTGATCAAAAGTGGCTTACGATCATCGGACAACTGAAGTGGCGCAAAGCCCACGAGACTCGTCACGTACTCCTGTGCGACTTCGATGGGAACTTCTACGATCTCCTCCTCTTCTTCTTTCTCAGCTCCTTCCGTTGGAGTCATATGCAGAGGGGACGGTTTGTAAGTGGGGCGGATAAGCTTACCCCTAGATTAAAATGAGATCTGTAAAGAAAAAATTATCAGCGAACATACAAACCTGCCGACCACAAGTAACAACAAAACAAGTTCAGAAATAGCACCGCTGGGATGCGCGACAATATCTTTATCTACGGACGAAAAAAGCTACACAGTGGACACCAACAAAGGATAGGATGGCAAGATAACACGACCTGTTACAGATTTACTACTGGAATATATTATTGTAGATGTTACTCTCGGCTTCAGGGAGTATTCCGAATGAACCTAGCGAACAGTGGACGTAGAATGACTATGTCAGAATGACTTTGTCGGTAATAACATTCTGCCTATATCATAGGCCACTGTGCGGCTGCTGGTTGGACTCGAGAGGGAGCCCTAAGGAAAGGGGGGACGAGTGAGTTCCGTAGAAACGATCGGTGAGCGCCCCTCTACCATTGTATATTCCCGATCGCAACCGACAGGACAACGGGACCGCGGCCCAGTGGTTAGAGGCGTTGGACTTCCAACTAACAGGTCGCGAGTTCGAGCTCCAGGTGTTCCACACTTAGGGGTTAGGTATGACTGGCTGACGACGGCTAATAAGCCAGATGTGGATGTTCCAGTCTCCATTGTCTTTGTCGGTAATACCAGAATGACTGTTCAAAACTGACGCCAGAAGTGTAAAGTAAGCTCTGTGGCGTAGCTTAGCAAACAGAACTGTGCGTTCAAAACAAGCATGTACCCCTGACATGTACGAACTGAGTCGACACCGATGCTAAGCACAATACCCGTGCATATGCACTTCCGATAACACAAGAAACCGCAAAAGCCGTCGGTAGGCACTGTAGCGAGAACTGTATTCTGCGTGACGCGTAACGAGTCGCACGGAACTTATTAATACAACATATTATTTCGGTTTCCCTGACTCTATTTTAAAATCTAGACATCTGGTCTCACGTCACCATCCAAAAACAGTCCGTAGTCCTAAACGGAGATTAGCGTACCACACTTTTGTGCACACACAGCAGGTAAAGTGACAAGCAAAGGATGTTAAAAGAACGAGGGGGTAAAGTTATAACGTTGAGGACCATGCCTGAAGTATTGAAATGGCATATAGAAGCACAAGCGCAATCGCACTAATTAACTCACGAATTGTATGGACGTGTTTTTCGAAATAGCAAATGTTCTAATACGCGTTCAACCAAAAACCGTTGCTACGTGTGATCAGAACGCTATGCCATGTATTACGCATGCAAGACAGAAGTCTGCTTTGGCAATTGTCGTTTGCCGAATCCAGACTGGGATCGGCGTAGGAAGTTACATAAATGCGGGAACTAGCGAGACTTCTGGGTACTACTGTTTGTTCGTGTGAGTAACTAGGGACTATCTTGCATCGGTTTTAAGTGTTGTCCAGCTTAGCAACCAAATACGGCTCAGTTGCGATCCTGAACAGTTCCGTAATCAGTTGCGACCATTAGTACCCTGTCATTCTAACTCGTTTATACTTCTGAGATACGAAGAACAAATTGATACTTAAATATAGTGGCAACGATGCTCGTGATAGATAGAACGGTGGATGGAAAAAATGAGTCGGGAATGGTTGCTAAAGAATTTAGCCTACCTTGTATATGACTGTTCATTTTTCGGGCAAGCGGCCACATGTGGGGGACGCAAGACCATCGTCTCTGAACTCCACCTCTCATTGGCTGCCTGGTATTATTTAAGCCTGAAAACACACTACGTGGTGGCAGAGACAAAGAAGACTGGCGTAGTCGTTTATGGCATGTTAACGGCTGCGAGTCGATAATGGTACATTATTCATGGTTAATATCTGACTGCCTGCGGGGTTATACATTCAGCTCCAAAACACAGTGGGATGAATGCATTACCCCGGTAACCAGGTCGGCGAACAACAAGTCCACGCTTCTCAAAGAGTATCTTTGTCCCCTACATCTATGGACTGGAATGTTCGACGGTATTCAGGGAAGTAAACCTTTCAGGCCTGGACCTCATTTACGTCTTGAAGACGCCAAAAATATTGGTAAACTCTTACAATGACTTACAGGCAGACTAATTTACTCTGATGTGAATGGCAATTAGCATAAACGACACTGTCTAAGTTTAAGAAAACCCACCGCCTTGAGGTAAGATTGACACTAGGCCTTCCATATAAAAAGAACGAAAGTGAACCTGGGAACCGTCAATTAAGTTCCGTTAAAATTAACCGAAGCCGAACCCAAAATAAGTAGGGATATTTCCAAAATGACAATTGTAGCAGTCTTAAACGCCAGGGCCTACGACCTATTTACTAAAACAGTTAGGAAAGTCTCATTAAAAGCTTGTAACTTAAAGAAACGGCCATTCTAAATGGGCCAAGACGGGTTTTGTGGGTAGGTAGCAGTGCTTTCTAGGTTATACCTGGGCAATTGCAGACAGAAATTGCATTATTTTCCATGTCAAGAAACATTACTAGTGCCAAATCCCTGGGTCATATACATTTACAAGAGCGCAGAAGGGGCGATAAGGACAACTAGGGGGCAAAACGAAGTGCGCGGGAATAACCTGCAGAAGTATTGCCAAACGCTCAAACAAAATTCTGAAGTTATTCGGTTGTTTGAATACGGAAGTATATTCAAATTAAATTTTATATATCTTAAACTCCCTGCAATTTTTCAGCTGCACTTTAGATATTGATGAGTATTTTTAAAGCAAGAAAGGGATAAATTACTACTGACACTTGAACAAAGGATATCATTGTCCCTTATACGCATGCGGATGGTAGTCAGTATCATTTTGAGACATTTTTACGAAAGACCCGCGGCTATTATGTGAGCCATTTGTGTTTTTGATTTCTTACTGATGACCGAGTGCTCATCGGATATGCGGGCTGTGGGAGAACGCCACAAATTAAGTAAAGCCAGCGCGCCGATGTTAAGCTGGCTCAAAAGTCATCAAAGCAGCGGAATGTCATATGATTCCTAGCAAGGGAAAGCTGCAAAGAGCAGTCTGATGAACGACAGGTTACAATTTCAGGAGGGTTATAAATTATCTGGAGTTAGTGAATTCAACTTTGCCTAACCTGAGTAATTAAAAATGTCTGATTCCCAATTTTAAGTTATGTACGAAGATTACAAGCTGCATAGGACATATTATCTGTTCAGTATAGTTAACTCAAGAATAATCGTCGCGAATTTCTCAATAACTATTAGACTTCGCACTACCATACATCTGTCTAAGTCTCCAAAAATGCTAAAAGCTGAATCTAGGCAACCCCTTTTTCAGCCTTGATAGTGAAACATTTCGACATCCTTCCTTTACCATATCTGGGGGCCACAGACGTGGTTGCTCCTGTCCGTAGACATTCCATGCTAATTATGTGGTAACCGCGAACTGCTGCCGCCTATTCGCATCCTGGTCCGGTTGGCGATCTCCATCCTATAGCAAACTTCATAATTAGCGGGAGGGACCTTTAGTCAGCAACTTAAGGATGCACTGGGTTTTGGTTATCTACAGGTTTGATACTTTACCACCTGATTGTTCACGCCCATTCCTGCACTTAGTCAACCCCCCAGGCCTGTTCGCACTCATTCAGTGCGAGTTTTTCCCTGATATCCATACACCTCATGGGCATATTTGCACATTCGACAATCACTTCATCACGGGGTACTTGTGAAATGCAACGCGTGTGGTAATTCGCTAATGTTTTTGTTATTAATAATTCAAATCATTAAGTAACGTCATTGTCCTGTTTTTATTTAAAAGTGTAATCAACTTTCATATCCGAGTGAGTTATGAAGATAGATGTTCTTCTCGAAGTTTTTAGGCCGAAATCATGTGATTGTGAAATTGTTAATATCGGTACTACGATCTTGAAAATCTTACTGAATAGTAGCAAACGTCAATATAACATCAAGGAAAATGTAAAGTATTAGGTGCCCATATAATGTAAAGACCCACAATCACATACTGGCTGAAAAACTTTCGGCGCAGAGACAATTGATTCAGACGATGCAAACATAATTTTGGGACGAGTAAAGCGATTTGACCGCATATTTTCCTGTATTTTGCCAAAATTATATTCTTTTAAAAGATTTTTATTGTAGGGTTTAACACAGGGCTAGAACTTCGCGTGCTTTCGCGATTTATGATTTTATTTATTGTTCAAATTACATCAGCCCTACACCAACCAAAATAAATGAACATTATTGTTCCTCTATTTGTGACTTTGCAAAAAAGTAACAAAATTTTTTATCATCAAATCAGAACTTTAGTTTACAGTTTTTTAACTGTATCAATTACATCACCATCGACAATATTTTAAAATGTGGGTTTCTTAAAATGATCGTCATAAAACACAAAAATTTACATATTAGTTGACATCTAATTGGTTGATATGTAACTGGTACCTAATTCAAACAAATGTCTCTACATGTAAACGAGGTTACACTAGAAACTTTGATGTTCATATTGTTTTTTTGCGTTTCAGAATTCACAGATTACTGCGATTGCTCTTGTTTGGAATTTCAATGTTTCATTCTGCATTCAGAGGTTTTACTGGTAGTCACAAATGTTGAGTTAGGTGTTCTGATGGAAAATGCTTGCTTTCTTTATTGGGACAGTGCAAGCCAACAACAAAAGCCCATAGTTTCCCCGAATGGAGGTTTTTAGTTTTCTCTGGGAAGAAGTGCTATTAGTGTTGGACCAGCCACCCCAATTTCTGTGGTTGGAATATTGGCAGTGAATTCAGACAGACCTTCACTGAGAAGACAATCAAGACATCTAAGAATCAAGCTGCAGGTTTTACTGTCCATGGCTTTTTTCATAGGCTTGCGGTCGGTCGAACATGCAGTTCTCAATTTACGATCTACTTGACGACACACCTCTAAACCATCAAGTTCGACGACTCAACATTCTCGACAGAGGCCACAACCGCCGCAGCCCTGAGAAGTCTGACGCGTGGTTTAATTATGTTCAGAGTAATGACC